ATGACCTCTCTTTACTGAACCCAAAGAATATGGTTTAGGATAGTTCTCAGTTGGTAATTTCAACAAATTCACCAAGCTCTTTGATACAAAGTTCTCACAACTTTCACTGTCCGCAATAACTTCGTATACCTTATTTTTTATAAAACAAAGCAAACGGAATATGCAGCGACGCTACCTTTCTTCCTTAGGCGACAAGGATCCGCTGCAATACCAAAGTGAGCCTTTCCACACCTTCTTCCACAATAAACTCAATTCTTGTATACTCATCTTTCACCTTAGTATCTTCTTCCTCGTCCATTATCTCAGTCTCCGCCAAATTGACTTGCTTTCTTTTCAAGCAGTTGTTGGAACGATACCCATGTTTGTAGCATCTATAACAAATATCTCATGTAGGCCTAGCATACGGGTTTGCATACTAAGTTGTGCCTTGAGTTTGACCTCTATTTCCAAAGTGACTGTTGTCAATATTGCTTCTATTAGAGTTGCCGAGGGTTTGTAGAAGGGGCCTTCCCTTTATTCAAAGGAACGGAGGTGATGGTTTGACAGGTAGGGAACTGTTATTTAAATGGTCACCCTCTTATCAGATTCCATCATCTCAGCCTTTTCCTGCAACATTCAAATATCATGTATCCAAATTCTATCTTGAATAGCCAAATTCAAACTACTGGTATACCTAGCTATCCTCTAATTTTTGGATTCTGACAAATTGTTCCTCTTTGCTAATTGCATAAATTCGTTGGTATAGTCTGATACTGTGCAACTACCCTGCGTACATCCCAGGAATGTATGATACAAAATTTGTTCGTAATCTACAGGTAAAAACTAACCCATCATACACTACTTCATCTTTCTCCAAGTTGAATCCAACTCTTTCCCTGTCTCCTCCGAGTATTACTGTTGCCTACAACCTTGTTTTTTTAAACCAAAAAAAAATTCGGAGCTGGCTCAGATTGGCTCAACAAGGCTTGAGCCGAAAGCTCAAGTCGAGCCTAGATTCTTTTGCTGAGCAAAAGCTTAGCTCGGCTCGGGCAAAAAAAAACCCGAATCATTTTTACACGAGCCGAGCTCGAGCTTCAAGTTTCGGCTCGACTCGTTGACATCCCTTATCTCCACCATTATTTTGGCACGATTTTTTGTAGGTTTCCTAAGCTTTTGTTCTAAAAGTAATTCGAGGTTAGACTATTCTTGTATTTAAGGTTTGAAAGCTTTTAGGTAACTCTAAATTTTATTTGAATTATATTAATGTAATTTGATACTAATTATCATAACCACAATTGGTTCTTCTATAAAGTTAGCATGTTCTCCTGAACTATAGGTTCGCGTTTCCAGAATCGGAAAATTAGAATAATATGATCACTTTTGCCACATATAGAACAAATTTTGACACACTGATTTTGTGAAAGATGTATTTGGTTCTTATTACATTGACTATGATTTCTCCTGTCATGCTGATAAGCTTTTGATCACTATTTAAAATTTTCTTTCTATGGTTCCACTTAGTATTTTTACAAATAGGAATAACAAGCAAATTTGCATTGTTAAGGAAATAAATTTATAGTGATAGAATGATCCTTTGCTATCTTAGTTAAGTGTATCTTGTCATCTTGCTCCACACAAATGCGTGTAATGTTTTCTTGAAGTGTAAAGATCCCTAACATTCTTATTTGGTTTTTCAACGATTTCCTCCAGTTGAAGCTCCCTAAAAATGTTTGAGGAAAGAAATACAAACATAACTAGTGTTTAGTTAGGTCGAGAGGTGAATATCTAGTACTCGTTAAAGAGAAGTCTTCGGAATGTCGTAAATTCACCGGTACAACAACTATCTTTTGACTTGAGATAGGCACTCTCAAGTGAACTACAAGTAATCTTAGACCTGAGTTTCAATCAACTTTCAGGTGAAATCCCTTCATCTCTTGGAAATCTCGAGAAATTAGAAAGATTGAACCTTTCATTAAATCAACTTGACGGAAAAGCCCCCACCTTCACTTGGAAAATTATCAAGTCTCCACAGGCTAAACCTGTCAAGCAGTCATCTGAAAGGTCGGCTTCCTTCTGTAAGGAAACAATTGTTGCTTTGATTTCAATGAATAATTTTCCCACACATTTCATTGATAATAATTCTATCTTATATACACAATAGTTGAGAAGCTAATTTAGGAAATATTCAAACGTCTAAGCTAAATCTATGCTACTGTTACAATGTACATCTATAGAGTTTAAATCTAGAATCAATTACAAATATGAAAGTAATGACAGAATGTTTGACATGATTTTAGGCTTAGACATGCTATGTTTTGTCTTGAGCTTGATTCACGCATTCTTCCCTTATACGGCCCCGCAAGATTGAGCTTCTATTGGCAAGACCAATCTTGTTGCGTAGTAATTCTGTGCGTTGTCTTGACAATGGCTTCGTTAACAGATCTGCTTATTGGTCTTGAGTATGTACATG